TGAGAAGAATATATATAAACTGTCAGGTTATTCTTTTTGCCACTATCTGTAGGATGGTGAGTTGACCAAAGGAAAAAAAAGGGGTGACTCCATCCACAGTGTTGATCTATGATGCTTCTCGAGCTTTCCTCTCTGTTTCTTTTTGATACACTGCAGTGACAGAATAGGCTGAATTAGTTTAGGTGCATCTCATGAACATTCAATTAGGAAACCTATATAGACAAAGCACAACACAGCATTACAATTTCCAACACTGGAAAACCAAGAAAATGAACTGCAATAACTACCAGGTAGAAAAAGAGGAGTAGGGCTGCGCGGTGGAAGGGTAGGGGGGATAAAACAGGGAGAAAAGGCCAGGGACAGAATGTGTTCCCAAAGAAATAAAGGGCTACATTTATGACCACATCATAAATCATTGCCTTACAATGGCAGAGGCTAGTTGATGGCAGCCCAGTGTTGGGGGGGAGTTTCCTCTGTTTACATTTCTAAGCTTGTATTTTTTCCTTTGTGCTGTGTGTGCTTTAAAACACTTTCTTTTCTCCATCGTAATGACAGCAAAAACAGTAAAAGTGTAAATGTGAAGCCTGTTCAATCTTTGGCAATAAATCTCCCACATACAGTAAAGTAATGTGAAGCTTTTACACATGCCATACAGAAAAAGTGCAGCTTTGTGCAATTTCAATCATTGTCATCAAAACAGAGTACACTGTTATACTTACAACATGACTATGCATTTTGGCAAAAGGACTCGTCATTCTCATGGCACTGACATGTTACACTGACAAGCATTTTCTTTTGAGATATAAACTACCGACCTTGAGGAAGTGACCTGCTTTTGCAGGTAATCAGTTGTGCGGTGCTGTTTGTATGTACTGTTTTGACAAATGATGTTACTGTTTTACAAATATCAATGATGATTTGAGAAATGTTCCAAAATGACTAGGAAAAACTTTATGTATTTAACATTTCACAACCAGCTTTGTTCATAGAGAGCAAATATTATATTGATCCTTTACATTTTTGTGCTAGTTGTTCTTGTACTTTCTTCACTGCCAATGTCACCACAATTGTTAGAACATTCATGTGCATTTTCCGATCTCAGCATGACTAGGCCATATTTTACAGTCCTTTACATCTATAGTATCTTTTCGTGTCTCATATTACTTACATGTCATCTAAGTAAATGAGTGGGTAACTTTCACACTGTACAGTATGACTTAACCATGTATTGATGCAACCATGAAAGTACTATGTTACAAAAATAGTACTTTGACAAAATGTGCATAACGGCTCGTAACCAAATTAGTGCTGTTCGAGTTTCATCCAACAGTAGCGCTGGAGAGACAGGTGGTGCACCTGAGACATATTACTACAAATGCATAGACTTGTGTGATAATTACTTACCACTACAAAAGGATTGTGGTCCACTGTGGTCAGGATATTGGGTAGTGGCTGGCTGATTGGCTGGATGGAGGGATGTATGGTTTCGGAAATTCTCTAAATGGATGAACAGTGCTCTTTCGGTCACTTCTGAAGAACCAGGACAGTCCTCTACCCGAGGCCATATTGCACTGCTTTAATTCTCAGACCATGTTCCGGTGATTCTGGACCCAGCCACTTGATAAGCAGGTTGATCTGCTCACTGTTTCTAAGGCTAAGTTCAGCAATCAGTTACTAGGTGTCTCCTTTCTAAAATCCTAGCAAAGCTCATTCACTGTGGCATCACTGGTGGTGGATTGTGAGTCACGCCTCTGTTTTGGTCATGGCTCCTTAAATAAACAACATGGTTGCTGCTCAAGTGCTTATCAAGCTGTTCTTCTTTGAGGAATGCTCCTTTAGCAGCTCCTGGTGGTTAGCAGCCAGACTGATATGGATCACTTCTAGAATAATAATAATAATTATTATTATAATCTCTGCCTCCAAATGAGACTTCTCCATTTCCTTTTTGGTAAAAGCTGCTCTAGCCGTAGCAGCTTGTGTCCCCACCCGTGCCTGAGCTACTGACCCTAGTTGATGATGATACACTGATGATTTCTTGGACATGACAAAAAGCGCTGCAAGTGACCTAGTCTCCTTTGTGTCCTGCACAACCATTGCGTCAGCTTGAAGTGAAAACTTTATAGTGTTGTATTAGCTTTGATTTGAGTACCGGTATCTACACTTTTGAGCTTCCAGTTTCCTGATAAATGCTGCTATTTCACTGCACTGTTATGTCCTAATGTTGACTTTTTGTCCATTTCAGTGCTCTTTAGGGCTGAGCTGGACTCTGCATATATTATTATGTGGTAACACTTTACAATAAGGGGACATTAATTAACAGTACTTACTGCAGTAATAAGCATTAACTAATAGGTAACTAATACATTTCTTAATCATTTACTAATGTTTTTCATGTTAATTAAAGTATTAACTCATACATGAATAGTTTTTAATGACACTGTTAACATTAGTTGACACAGTAATAAACATTAACTAAAAGTTAAATAATACAATAATAAGCATTAAATAACTTAAATGTCTCTTGGTAACTGTAGCATTGATGAGAATAGGCCAGATGGATGGACAACCTGAAAACATAATGCCTCTGGCCATAGAAGCATAAAAAGCCAAAAATCCACTTCTATGCATTCAGTTATAGTAAAAATACAAAATACAGTAGAATGAAAATATGTGAAAATAAAGCCAAATAAAGTAATTATGGTTAAATAATGGTTATTCACCACTGCAATCATTTATAAAGAGCTCAGGAATATATGTTTTCCACTCTACAATATGCGTCACAAAGAGCATTAACAAATGGTTAATTAAAGTTAAGTAATGGTTATCACCACTATTATACACTTTTATAGAGCATTTCTAAATGCGTAATTATGCTTACAGTACACAGCAGGGGTGGACAAGTCAGGTCCTGGAGAGCTACCGCCATGCATGTTTTCCAACTATTCATGCCCTGTCCACTGCTGAACACCTGGATCATGTGTATTCAGTCAATCAGAAGCTGGAAGATACCACCTTAGACGAAGGTGGAGCGAGGACAAAGTGAATTCGTAGGTTGAAGGATTGAAAAGTAAGTGGACAATTATTACTCTTAAATGAACATTAAAATAGCCTTCTTCTAATGAAACTGCTAAGCTGTGAACTTCATGAAATACATGTTAATATCTTTATCGACTATTTACTAGCGTTAGTTACCATTACCATTAGTTAGTTACTGTATATCTTTATGTATTATTTAACTTTTAGTTAATTCTTATTACTGTATCAACTAATGTTAGCAGTGTTAACATGAAAAACATTAGTAAATTATTAAGAAATGCATTAGTTACCTATTAGTTAATGCATTAAGTACTGTTAATTAATGTACCCTTATTGTAAAGTGTTACCTAGTACGTCTTATTCTAACTCCTTCTACCCATTGTAAAGCCATCAAAATTGTCATCATTTCTACTGTATACACAGTGATTGCACACTCTTTTTTTTGCACTGGAAACTGCCTGTAAAACTTTAACACTGTGCCCTAAACTGTACTACAGTACTGTAAAACCTCCATACATTTTTCTAAGAGACAGAACGTGGTGTAAAAAAAATTTGACTGGTTTGCATTAGTTCTACTACAAAAAAAGGTGATGGGAATCGAGTGTGTTAAATGTATTTTTATAACCCCGTCTGTTCAACTGGGTTATATTTAACATTCAGACAAATAGATAAGAACAGCATATTCAATCTCTTTATGCAGACAATGACGATTAAAAAACTCAATTCAAGAATGGCAATAACATTGGTGTTGCTGTTTTTCAGTGAACAGTTTTAAGTGCCACAGTGACGTAATTTCATAAGACAACTTCTATACCCTATGCGACCAACTTTACAATGTGAGCTCCATGTACAGTAGGCATCTATTACTTTGAAGTTTTTTTAATCAGTGCTGACCAGAAAACAAATAGTAGCACAGCGAATCATACCGAGCAAAATTAGAATGTTTCAGGCAAACTCTTTTCATGTTCAAGTCAAAATGTCTTCTTCATTTGAACTAGGGCTGCATAATTACATTTTCAAGTTCAATTCGGACCCCTGTGCAATCTCAGTCTCAAGCAGCTAATGCCATGTTAGCATTAGCGCCAAACCAAGCATTCCTTTTTCCACACTAAGCTACATTAACCAGTAACAGGAATCTGTTGCATCACGTGATGATGGAAAGAGAAGACATGTCTGTGTCTGACATGGTGCCCTCCTGCAACTCTTTTCAAACAAACATTCAAACATTGCACTGCCTGTCCTATACAACTAGTGCAGAAAAAAGGTTGAGGCAGAAATGTGAGCAATAAATCACTTTGTTGGTGTTAGTTGTGGTTAATGGTCAACATAACTTAGTAAGAAAAAAAGGATCTCACCGCTAAAGCAAACATGGCAGAATCATTATCATGTACAACTGGGATTGTATAGCGATCTGAATCATGCTTGAAAAACAATCGTGCAGGCCAAATTTTTACACTGCATCAAATATGCTATACACTTCAATATTTACTATCTTGCTATTACAATGTAAATAAAAAGGCAGCAAAACTGCACTTGAGCAACCTAGTGCCCAGTTCAACCATGGCTCATTTCATAGTGTATTTTTGTCTTTTCAACAACCACATTCTTAAATCATGTCTCTTGGTTAAAAAGCAGTGGAAAATGCAGTCAGCACTAATTCTGTATACCCTTAGTCATCCAGTCTGATCTGGCCACCAGTAACCTCACTATGTCACCTGATGACTGGATCAGGTCCTTTCCACTGATAGAGACAAAAGAGAGACAAAGAAATGGAAGATATGACTGTAATTCAAGTTTGATTTTATATAGAAGTTAGTTAAGATTTTAACTTAAATGATTCTAACCTCTGGTAGTCCAGTCCAAGCAGGCTGACTCCATTAACAGCCAGGATCCTGTCTCCTGGTACCAGCTTCTTGCACCGAGCTGCAGGAGAGTCTGGAACCACTGCACAGATCAAGACTCCTCTTGACCTCAAGGACGTGTCCTGGAAGTTAAGGTCAAAATGTCACTGCCGTACAGGATTGTGTAGTTGCCTGCCACACTACAACAGCTTTGTTCCATCACCTATGTGTGCCTGTTCTCTATTTTCTAAGTTTTATTTTTAGAGAGTTCAGCTCCATAATGCAGTTTTCCAGAAGCTGACTCAAAATAGGTAACAGTGAAACCAAGGTGTGATCACAGCACTGATATGATGGACTTGTTAAAAACAGTTTCATATTTCTGCATCCAACATTTGCATCATTCATTTGGATTTTATGACCATATACATCCAATATTCACTTTCTTTTAGCTCTGCTTTTGGTCTCCACCAACTCCTGTGAGAAATAGTTGGCTCTTTAGCTGCTTCAATACAGTCATCTGTTAGGGCCATGACACACCAAGCCAATGGTCAGGCCATTGATAAGCGTCTGTCGGGGATCATCTTCCCAGTGTGTCCCGTACCATTGGCACTAGTCAGACCAGAGTGGAGGCTTTTTGGCCAATTCAGAATGTTGAATTGACATCAGGCTAGTTGGACCTTGTCGGTGAGCGAGAGACCACTCAGATTGGCTGTTCAGTTTAGTGAATCAATGGACCAGAAGAGAGCGTTTCAGGAAAGCCCCTTCAGCCTGTCGCTGTAGTATCCATGATTTCAAACATTTTGTGCAGTTTCTTCTTGTTTTTTTGTCTCCGCGATCTCCTTTCTTCTTCCATAACCCAAAGAACAAGGGCAGAGAATGGCAGTGTCATTTGTAGCTTCTTATCAGACATATTCTCGATTAGTAGCAGCTATAAACAGCAGCTGTTTTAAAAGAGGTGTTTTTCCTCCTCCTACTGCCACCTGCTGGTAGGTGGAGTTACTTTTCTCACGCAGGTGCAGAACGTACAGGCTAGTCGGCCATTGGCTGTCATCTGTGCGGTGTGTTCCAAGTGCCACTTTTTCAACCTGACTGGATCAGGCAAAGGTAGCATGAGGCCATGCAACAGTCAGCCTTCATCACTGCTAGATCTTTCACATCAGCTTGGTGTGTGTCTGCCCTTAGTCACTAAGGGTGTTTACCTGCTGTGTGGTGCTGAGTATGTCATGTAGTATGTTTAAAAACTTTTCTTATACAGCTGCCTTATGTGGCTGAAAGCAATGTGGTGAGATGGAAAGATAAGCAACGCCTTTTACATTGCACATTGTTATTTGATAAATTATTATAAACGTATTGATTGTAGTAGCTTTAATGCCTAACTATGAATCATGAGGTCTGCATCTTTGTCACTCACCCTTGTGTCAACCAACGCAAGTCCAAGTCCTGTTTCACCTCGCTCCAGCTCCAAGCTAAAAACCTCATCATTACTGTCATCATATTGGTCATCTTCCTCTTCCTCCCCACCCTGCTCGTCCTCTTCCTCATTCAGCTCAACATTTTTTTTCATACTTGGACAGTCTGATTTCAAACGGTCTGCTTTCAGTGCAGCCAGACATTCAAACACTAACCCACCTAAGAGAAAGAGAAAAAAAGAGGACAGATGTTCAGCTTATTTTTCCAAAGATGAACAGAAGAAAGCCTTCAGTGTCTTTCCATACCTTCATCATGTGCATCTACACCTGAGGACCAGGGAGGTGTCTCACTGTCAGCCTGCAGCCATTTATCCTGTTCTGCCTTTACCAAATCAGCAGAATCTATGATGTGGGGAGTGTTAGGTGGGGTGAGGAGACAGGAGGGGTCCAGAGCTGACATCCTCATCTTACTGGTCTCCATAATTCTGGTTTGCAGCTCCAGATTTCTTAGTTTTTGGGACAAAAGGAGGGTACCACAGGAGTTAACCTCACCCAGGTAGTGGGCGGAGAAACGAGAGGCTAGTGAAGGGGGTGATGGAGGTACTGCAGCAGAAACAGTAGAAGCTGTGACATCATTAGACTGGCAGTGAGAAAGGGTGGAAATGAACTCTTGGAGCTTATCCAGCTGCTCCACTAGAGACAAATCTATTACCACCCTTCTCAGCTGAAACTGATAACCCCCATTAGGCAGCACCAGAGAATTGTGGGTGTCAAAGCTCTCCAGGATATCAGCTGAAATCCAGAAGAGCACATTTCATTAAAAGAACATGAAAGTAAAGATGATAAATATATAAACTAATCTAGCAGGCTGTTATATTTTTAGTGGGCATTGTGAACTGAGGCAGGACCTCAGATGACCCCTCACCACTATTATGTGCTGCTGCTTGGTCCTGTGCTGATGGAGTCCAGGTGTGTTTGCAGGAAGATGGGGGGCTGTAGAGACTCAGGAGGTGGTTCAGCTGGGCCAGATTCAGAGCAGGATAATCAGACTGCAAGGATGCCCAAGACATCTGCACACATAATGTAAAACAAAATGTTCAGACTCTCTCAGTATGTGTTTAATCGTTTTTATAATAATAAAATTTTTATACTCTTCTTTTAGGGCGAGCAGAGGCAGAAATCTCACTGACAACAAAACAGTTCTGATTTTTCAACTTGTAACTGTCTTTTTCCTAAATATTATTATATTAATAATTTTTTTTTAGCACCCATTTCCCCACTGTTGGCCTGGAGAGGGCGGAGACAGACATGGTTTTTCTAATTATTATTATATTAATAATTTTTTTTTAGCACCCATTTCCCCACTGTTGGCCTGGAGAGGGCGGAGACAGACATGGTTTACACCTATAATTTACTACTTTTAGCCCTTGCACCATTTGAGCTCTAAATTTCTGACTGTACTTTATTTTTTTGTGAACACCACACCACAGTATGAGATGCTGTACAGTATAACGTAATTTAATGTTACATCTCTGGTGATTGTTTATAGTTGGTTCAACTCTGCTGTGTGTGATGTGTGCGTGTGTGTTCTTTGCCTGCAGTAAATTCTTTCTAGGCATGGCCAGCAGATTGATAGCAGATGATAGTGTGTGAGTGTGCTCCAATGCCAGTTCACCCAGCCCAGCTGCTTGGGCCCAGTCCAGGAGCAAGTCGAGATTGGCACGCATTTGCACACCTCTGGACCACTGGTAGAACCCTGGCTCTGGGCCTGTGTACACATCAGGAGAAAGTCATCTTTGAAATCATCTCTTTGCTTGTTCACTGAGACTTGTCATGTTTTCAGTGTAAAATATTGGTAACATGAAAGTTCTACTGATTCTGAGAGTACAAACAACCGGTATTCCATCTGTGTGCCAAATGGGCATATACAAACTGTTAGCTGCACAGGCAGCTGTAATCTGTAAGCTCTTCCATATCACAACAAGCAAAGATTAAAGGATGGTAATATTTTAGACTTTCCTTACTTTCACCAACACCTTCATGAATACACACAGAGGTTTAGGTCAGTCTCACAATGTAAATACTCAATATAGCATCAATGTGCATTAATCCACATCTTAAAATAGGCTCCATATTTTCATGTGAAAGTGAGTCACACAAAAAAAAAGTTGGGACAGAGGCCATATAAGACTGACTGACAATTCTCTCATGAAGTTTGGCTCAAGGTGGCGAGCTACGAACCATCCTTGACTGCAAAGACTGAGCCTTTGGTGGCTGCTCCTTTTATACCCAATCATGACACTCTGACCTATTACCAGAGAACCTGCTATTTTTGGAATCTTCCAGAATAATGCTACTGGAAAATTCTCTACACTTTTCAGTCTTATTTAGCCTCTGTCCCAACTTTTTTTTGAGTGTGTTCCAGGCATCAAATTCAAAATTTGTTTATATTTACAAAATGTAATTAAGTTAGTCAAGGAAAACACTGAAAACCTTTTCTTTGTAATTTTGTCAGTTAAATAAAGGTTCAAGCAGATTTTAGTTTTTAATGCATTTTGGAAAATGTCCAAACTTTTCTGGAAATGGGGTTTGTAATTATTTCTTCTTGTTCAACACTATTCTTTTTGGTAGTCTTGACTATATGCCATCCCACATATTATATAAGCCTGTGACAAATACAACTTTTGCAGTGAAAAAATGCACTCTTGTTTGAGTAGCCTCTGCCCTACAAGAAACAAGCTAATTTGCCCAGCGATTGTAGGCAATTGCTGAGTTTAAAAAACAAAACAACAATGTACAGGCTATTATTGCCCAGGTTTATGAAGACATCTGCCTTCTGTAGCAACCAATGAGACTGAGTAGCTCTTTTCATCAGATTTATTTACAATAAGAAAAGTAAGAGAAAAGCACCTGCCTTATCTTTCCACCTGTTGTTTTCATATACTACTTTGATACTGGTTCCACAGCAGAAATACATGCGTTTTTCTGTGCAGCCTTCACACTTAAAGGGTGCTGAGTGGATAGGTTTTAGAGGTACTGCTATGACTCCTGGTGGCCACTAGGGATCAGGGCAGTCACAGCTTAAAATGACTATGCCACATTTCTCTCTCTCTCTCTTCAATTCCTGTCATCTCTCCAGTGGTGCTGTATATTAAAAGATTGCCTTCATTACCTCTAATAAAACTGAATTATTTCAGTAGACCTGAATAAGTATGATTTTGACTTATGGTGAACAAATTATTGTAAATGTGCACACTTAAACACTATAGGTTTACAGCCATGCTAGCTGCTCTGTCAGACATTTATTTACATTTTATTTGAGCTAAATGTTAGCTGTAATATCACTTGTTGATTTTTAGCAGGTATAACTGGCACTGAACACAAAGTACAGCGGAGGGTGATGGGAGCAGTTTAAATTTTGGCTTGATGAATGAGCTCAGTGAAAGCTATTAGCTATTGTTATTCTGTACTGCAGTAAAATGCATGTACACTAAAATCTGCAGCTACAGTCATCAGTAATTCTATATTCAGTGTGGAATGTTCAGTTTTTTCAAAATTGTTTTAAAACCAGAGTAAAATATGAAGAGCCTGGAACAGCAAAGTGATTCTACTCTACTGATTTATTTTTTTTAAATCCATTGCTCTTTACTATTTGTCACTTTATTGTTGAGTGTTTTTGTCTGTCAGAATTCTATAGGAATGATAACTTCAGTTTTTCCAGTAATTTAATTGGTTATAAACTGTACAGTTAACAGGTTCTGAGGTTAACCTGATTTGTAAGTGTGTGGCCAGTTACCATGGTGATCAAGCTTCATGATACCTGAGCCACAATATAGCTGGATATTCCACTAAAATTGATAATATATGCATTTAGATCACAGTATGTCAGGCATATAATGTGGGGTACCTGATTTTAATTCACCATCCTCCTTGTGGCTACTGGTAATGTGCTGTATGTAGACTAAGGTACCTCTCTCCATGAGTAAGTTGAAGAGTGATGCATTGATGAAGTAGAAAAGGTAACCAATGAGCTGAGAGGAAATCTCTGGGTGGAGCTGACAGTCCGAGAGTAGTCTCCAGGTCTCAGTCAGGACTTCCACAGCCTGCTGGATCTCACCAGGGACTCCCAATCCTCTGCTACCTATCACTTGAGCACTCATGCCAGTTGTCGGTGGGTCAGGACTCTCCCTGAATGGGCAGCAGTCAAGAAAGCTTGGCAGGATGGGGTGGAGGACCTGTAAGACAGAAGTGGATGAAGGGAAGTGTGCAACTCAGATGACACTGGCTCACAAATCCATGAGGAAATGAAGATTGCTGAGCATTCTTGTGGGTTAGTTTGAGGTTGGAAAGGTTTAGCTTGTGTGGTTGATGTTCTGACCACTGCAATAAACTAAAACATATGACCCTCTAACCCAGATTTCAGACCACCCATATTAGGGCTGCATGTCTTTCCTCCTCTGTTCCTCATGCTACAAAATAAGCTGGTATAAGACTAGTTCAACATCACCAGCAGTTGTAGGAATAAAGGAAGGCAGAGTTTGTCACATTTCTGCCCTTTCAGCCAAAGGTCCTCAGTGCTCTTCAGAGCAAGCCCAGACAACAGTAGCTTTGTTCGGGTTAATTGTACACAGACATCCCCTTTCCCCTACAATCTCACTCTTACACCCACCAAGCTTCACAGGCCAGCGCCGGCCATGGATCCACATTCCTAAAAAGCTGAATATGGCTCATGTGGGCTTGGCATGGTGCTGCAACAGGACTGCTGAGTGAAGAGTTCTGAAGGAATCCACCCTGAGCAGATCAGTTTACATTGACTGAAAGGCCCTGCTGCCGAGGCAGGCTGAACCCGAACAGTGAAACATAACGGCCACAGCTCCCATCACTCATGAGACAATGGAAATGGGCAAACATTAAGCCAAATAATCTTGCACTGTTCCTGGTTGGAAAATGTCACTCAGCGGAGCCAAGCCAAAGAGGGTTTATTCATTCAACAACCATTCTGGATTCTGGTATTACCACATGCATCCACGGCACATACAGTATTGTCCTAGGTTCCAGTAATAACGTGTGCATTTTTGTGTTGCCTGTTTATTTGTGCATTCATTGTGATGGATAAGTAGGCATATAGTCTGACCACAAGCTTGTTTAAATGCACTTTATTCACCAAGACATGTCTTCAGTTGGAATAGCTGCTCACCAGCAGCGCCTTTTGTTTTCCATCCTGCAGCAATTACCCTCACATCTGAAAGTTGAGCGTGAAATACCCAAAGGACATATTACCACATATTTTTTTATTTAGGTCTGAATTTACTCTGTCTTGTTGGGTTGCAACATTTTTACCATCCTTTTTTTGCTTCTTGTCTTTGTCCATCTTGTTTAAACCCTGGAACACTAAAATCCTTCCTTCCTGCACAAATTTTATCCTGGGTCAGACTGGCTACACTACACTGAACACTAATATAAATCACTACGTCTTCTTTTTCCATCTCTGAAGCAAAAGGATTAATGTAAATTATTAGGCCTTAGCCAGATTACATCTAGGCACTGGTGACTTCATCACATTCCTCACAATTTCTGAGCTGTCAGTCAAGGAGAGATGTGAATCAGAGCCTACTGTGAGGCTGACGGGCTTGATAGATGACTCAACACCCCTGGAATAACTGGCAAGACAAAGAAACAATGTCCACATGAAGTCTGCTACATCTGAAAATGCTAATTACAAGTGAAAGCCTTGTATCCAGCATTAAAGTTAACATGCACAACTAAGACCATAGTCTGGCTTTTCTTTGTTTAGCTTAGAAAAACAATTATGCAAAGAAGTGTGTAATTTTACAAAATAAAAGCAGCATGTAAAATCTGCAGGAATCAAACTTTGGTGACTCCAACTTATCTGACTGGTTTCTGTGGCTGAAAAATAACTCTGATGCTTCAGTATCTTAGCTAATTGGGGTAAATAATGCAGTAGTTAAATAATTCTGAAGAAAAAAACAGCACAACAGTTATAGTAGACTTTACAACAAACTTCACACCCTTTTTTTCTAAATTTCATGTTTTCTGTCATTAACTGTCATTTTTTCTAAGGTTTTTTCAGTTTACTGTGACCTGGATGACGGAGAATCTGCACAAACATGTCATTAACTGCTATCTGATTCTGTAGGGCAGCTAGATCTTCTTTGCCCTTGTCTGTGCATTACAGTCAATATCTGGCAAACTCTACCGTGTTCCTTCTTCCTCTCCATGAATGCCTGACCTTGTCCGATTCTTTGGTTTCTTACCAAAAATCTACAAAAAAAATCTTACACACTAAAAGTTAGATGAACATTATACCTGCCATACATCAGCATGTTAGCATTATCAGTGTTAGAGTATTGAAGTTAACATAATTCTGTACATGCAAGCAACCCTTTCCATGATGATCTTTTAGAAACTAGATCCTGTGCATACATTTTCAGACAAAATACAAAAGGTTCAAATACCATGTGAACAACAGAATTCATGCTAACATATGTACTGTTAATACTGGAGAAACAAGACAGATAACACCATCTTGTCTACTATCTACTACTATAATCTACTATATCTATACTTAGAGTTCAGCGTTAAGACTGCAATAATTGTTTGTTTTTTGTCACTTCAGAAACAACTGACAAATAATCATGTTTTAAGTTGATTTAGTAAAGCTGTACTGTTGTGTTACAAAGTAGTTACTAGTTATAAAGTAAGATTAGCATTAATTTGGAGCTATGACTTGGCCATTTGGTGAACTTGCTTCAAGTCTGTGGTTTCTATCACCTCCCAATGGAAATATCTAGATTTTCAGTTGACAAAAGCTCCATGAGTGTTCACCAGCTCTAACTGTGATGAGCAGGTATTGTGTAATTTAACCTACTTCACATAAACACCTTCTTATTTATTCTATTCTCTTCCAATTTAATCAAGTGATTCCACAGTGTGTAGAAATCATTTACTGTAACTTTTCTGTAGTACTGATCCTGGTACCCAACCCAGTATGGGACCAAATGTGATCTTAAGTTGTCAGGTCAGGGAAATTCAGACTACAATACACTATGTCAGCTGAGCGTCCAGTTTAAATTAGGTCCTAAAAGTCAAAACGTAATGAACATGCTGTATTAGGTTTCTGGATTATTTAGGGATTTACTGACAAACCACATCTGGAAGTCATTTGCAGACTTCCAGCATCCAGTAAGGCAGACTTCTTGTGTGAATTGTAAGCTGTCTGAGAGCAGGTAGTTAGATAACCACATCCTCCTGCGTTGAGAAAAAAAAGTGCTGTTTCAAACTTGCTAAGTGATTGAGGATTCTTTGAACCTAGTACATTAGGCACAAACTCCAACTGGCAGAACATGTGAGGCCTTCAACTGGCTGCTGCTTTGTTCAGACCAGTGCTGTATTCATATGTGTGATGTGGCTAAATGCTTTCCTTTTACTTTGGACCTTGCTGGTTTGGAGCCTCAAGGACATTAGAGGGGCTGCATAGGAAAGAATATGAGTGGACATCCAATTCAGCTATCAGTCATCAAGTCTAGTTCAGTTACTGAGAGAGGAAGAAAGGGTCAAAATAGAATAAGTTAGATGTCACTGTATGAACATAAAAAGTATATATCTTCATTACTATTTTCTCAACATTGCTTTCACCCACAAGGCTCCACTGGAAATTTGTCTGAAACTTTCCCGGCACAATTCCATGTAATGGGTGTGGTGCTTCAGTAAAACTGCACACAGCTGTATACTGTAGCTAAAACAACTTTTTTTTCCTTTTTCCAAGTAACTGAGAGAAACGCGAAGAATACTAACTTTGCATAATAAAACATAGCTTTTAAAGCTATACTACTGTAATTAACTTCACAGAAAGGCAACCTAAGAAAAATACAGTTTAGAGGAATTCATTACCCAGATATCCTATGTTATCAGAAAACACAAATTATTTTTCTTTATTACAACTCAAGGAAATCTATTTCTAGCCCCCTGACAAAGTCTTGGGGAAATATCTGGCTCTTTATTTGGTAAATGCTCCTCTATGTTCACCAGAAAGTCACTGACTTTGTCTGTCTGCTGTTTGGTTCTGGCCAGGTGTACAGTGGAGCATAATGACAGTAAATCAAAACAATAAAGCTTTATTAACTAATTAACAAACTCAACTCTCCTCCTCTTCTCCCTCCGGTCTTCTTTGCCCCTCCTGCCTTGTCTCTGAAACTACGTCATATGTGGTCACAACTGTCAGAGTCAGTTGTGGCAGGTAGCACAGCAGTAATAACTGGCTCCAGAACCAGTGTATATACAAAATATAGAGTCCACAGAGCTCATTGCCTTAAGTGGCATTGCAGTTACACAATGTCAAATATAAAGGTTTAAATTTTAGTGATATGCATACGTATGTCTACTGTTGTTTGTAGCGGATGTATCTGCAGTAACACAAGCAAATTATACAAAAGAATGTTTTTCCCAGTAATATTGATACAGTACTAATGTTCCAGCCACTATTGCGTCACGTTCAATGTTACATACTTGACACACATAACAGAAACTGTGAGTTGTACATGAAATGAGAAATTTCATGTTATGCTTTGATAGTTGAACAAACTCAAACTAGTTGAACTTTTCTAATTGTACTAATGGTGTAAATTTTATCAACTTCTCACTAAAATGCTACACAAACTGCAGTCTTATGTTTGACAAACTGGACCAAAACCAAGCATTTGCTCATTTCCTGGGAAACAGGAAATGAGCAAAATTGCTTCATATACTAATCCAGGAAAACGCAGTGGTTTTCAGTAATTGAACAACAAATCACTAATGCTGCAGTCAGTTGGAATGATTCCAAATTACAGCCCAAATAATTCAATACAAAGGTACAAAATTAAAAATCCAACCTTTGCTTGCTAATGATGCTAACATAAACACATTAGCCAGCTACAGTACTTATGAGTCTAGCAGGAAGAAAGCCATATCTGTGAAAAAAACATATCTTATACAAGTGCAGAGCGGATTTTAACTGAACTGGCTACAGAAGGCAAGAAATAAACACAAGAACTGAAGATAGTAGAATACAGCAGGGAGAAAGCATGTCTAGACTTTTTTTTTTACTTGATTTATCAAAATTTGTGCTAAATCTTAGTTAATGCACCTTTAAAGGTATAAAACCAAATCAATGAACTGAAAGACTAAAAAAGTCTGTAGCACTGCAGAGTCAGATAATAATTCTCTCTGATTTCAATACTAAAAGCAACTACTGTCACAGTACACAGTCATATGAGTCACTGTTAGCATAAAAATACAGATTTTTGCAGTTTTAAGATCTTGCCTTGAGCAGACTTTACTGGTTGAGAACCAACTGTTCCTGATTATGATGTTGGTCAGTACATTACATGGGCCACACATTATTTGTGACCCAGTTTTATGAAAGTAAAACATGTTGCACACTTCATTTGTGTACTCAACATCTTGTCACAACTGATCAAATGAAATATTAGAGGTTTCGATGCAAAGATTCCTTGGCAACGCTTATACACCCCTGGCTTCTTTCATTCTTCCCCAACACACACACACACACACAAAGGCCTTTGGTGTATTGTCTCTCTCCAGTGCCATAATGTCCCCAGTGTGGTCTGGCAGTGCTGCTGGTCGGGCCAATTTAGAAAGCTGCCAGAGCAGCTAACTGGGGTCTTTATTTTCAGCCTGTCTCTACTTACTTTTCTGTCTTTAACTACACATAATAATCATCAGTGAGTCGACCACATGGAGTCGTGTTACATGCTTGCCCTTGGTAGCTATTGGTACCTTACTCTGCAAGAAGCTGGTATACAAATATATGCACATCATTACTTAGAAAAATTACGACAGTATTTTACTTTACTGTTTTGCCACAAAGGTCCACTGTAACAAATTGCTCTAGTTAAATAGCACATACACACCAATTTCAATTCTGTGCATACGTCACCTACTGTATAGGTGCTCCATTAGCTCCTCACCTTGGTGATGTAGTATACACACTGCTGGAAGGCAAGCATGATAACTTCCTCCAGTACGGCCATTGTCTCCTCACTGGCTGAATGGACACAGGACAGATGAAGCTCCAACAGGGCTGAAAAAAACAAACACACAAATATATAAATATCACGTGCAGCTCCAGACTGTTGGACATCCATACAACCAGGGGGCGGAGTCCTGAGTTCTGAGTTCAATGTGATATTGTGTTCTACTGGACAAATGTGTACTTTTTGGCAGTAAGATAGAATAATACATTGCATCTGGACACAGAGATACTTGTTACACGTACACACAAAAGATTCTATTTATTAACCGGCTGTTTCAGATTCACATTTTGCTTTTACTTTGAAATTGCTACTTAATGTCAGTTTGTGGGAATGTCATACTAAAATCATACCTATTGCGGCTTTAATTATACAGTGACTAATCACTGTGTCTAATACAAAGCTTAACAGGCAACTAACCCAAGCTCTCCATCTCCTTGCTCTCTTCACCTTCCCTCTCTTCTTGCTCTGACTGTCTCTGCCCCTTTCTGGTTTTCCATTCCAGAATAAGAGGCAGTTCATACTGGATGAAGTGCAGCAGCTCCAGACTGTTGGACATCCATACAACCAGGGGGTGGAGTCCTGAGATCACCTCCTTTGGGCTGAGAGGCTTGAGGTCTTCTGAGTTCAAGCCTTCACCACTGAGACTGCAATACAGAAAACCAGATCTGTAGTGTTGTCTGTGAACTATAATACAATGAAATGCTGAAGAAAAATAATAAGGTGTGCTTACACTTCAGGCTGAACTGCAGCTAGATCCTTAGTGTGCTCCTGCATAACAAAACGTTTTGTACATCAGTACAGAAGAGATGATAGTTACTATCATGTCTACTATCAGATAGTATAATGATAATCTTTTTTAACAAGAAGTAGGAAAAGTGATCATAGTCAGGAAATAAAGACAAAAGTATCAAGAGTAGCTACAAACTCAAAAGGGAAGTGCAAACAGATAAAACAGTACTGTACATAAAGAATGAGTTCTTAGAAGGATTTTTAAATGCAAGACACTTTGCAACTTAAAACCCTCAGGGAGTTTGATCTGCATCTAATATCTTTAAAGGAAAACAGTGGACTACGTCTTGCTAATCCAATTCCTTCAGTTGTCCTCAGCTAAAAAACAGCTACATTCACACACATGCACACACACCGATTCTACATCGTTATTTACTTTTTATTGTTCCCAGATATATGCTTCTTACGGGAAACTCACCTAACAAATGCTGAATCACAAGACCTCACATTAAAACAATTTAACAAACTATTTTCATCAACATACAATAGCAGGCAGCGAGGTGTCTCAATTCTAATTAATAAAAGTATCTCACTGGTCCATAACACATCCATCATTGACCCAGAAGGTAGATTTATCATTGTTAATGTTTTGATTAACCACACAACATACACACTTGCCAACATTTACGGCCCTAATAATGATGACCCATCTTTTTTCCATTTTCCTTTCTTTTTGCTGCACGAATTTACAAACATCATCATTGCTGGAGACTTTAATACTGTTATAGACCCTAGAAATGATAAATCTAACTCCTCCACCAACACAAGAAAGTGGCACTCTACAGAAGTCATAAAACGTCTTTCTCTCCTCTGCTCTCTCTATCATGTGGGCTCTGCACCTCAGCTGTGTTGCATTCCAGTAATTAGCAACTGGTTTGTCAATGCACACAGCTGGGGTGCATCCCGATGATTACCTTCGCCTCCTTATATAAACCTCTGGCAGACACTCTGTCTTTGCTGGAACATTAACTATGTACCGTGTAACATACATGTGGGTAGAATGCTACGCTGACAGACACTGTGCGTTTTGGTTTGACTCTACCACACTACCTACGCGCTATGCTACTTTACACTACACTACATATTTTTGATTCGTCGCCGGATCTTTGCAATGGGTAACGGACAATACATACCCAGTGTAAGCTAACAGTTTATGTTTGACCCGCATGTTTTAGACGTGTTTAAGATGCTATGCTGACAGTTCCTGTGCGTTTTGGCTTGACTTGATTACGCTATTCTGCGGTTAGCTATATGTCCTTTTGGTTTCCACGCTGACAGTCTCTGTGCTGTGGATTATATTGTGTATGTTGGTTCTTTTGTTCGCCTGCCCGTTCACATCCTCTGCTATCCTAGTTCCTGCCATTAGTGTATGTGTACCTGTTCGTCCTGGTCTCCTAGTCATCACTG